TAGTGGGGGAGAGAGAAGGGGAAGGGGAGGGGGAGGTGTGCTAGTCTGTGACCTCTGAGGAGTAAACACTAAGATGCAGTTAAATGTAGAAGACTTTTATTAGGGGAAACACCAGTGACAGAAAATGGGAAGGGAGCTGAAAAAGACTGGAAAAGTCATCTGACCTAAAGTGAAGGAGTGAGGGAAGGAAACTTGGGTACAACTGTTCTAGACTAACTTGCAATTTCAGGAAGTTTGGAGGCCTCTAAGGAACTTTCTCAACACTTCCACATGAGAGAGAAAGGGATAAAAAAGTAGAGAAGTGTACCCAACAGAGGATCTAGAAGTCATTGTGCTGTTTGTTGAATATTATTTTTTTAAAAATTTACGGGAGGAGAAGGACTTCCTGGAGGTGAAGCAAGATGGTAGAATAGAAGGCTTCACCGATCATCCATCCCCAAAAAGGACATCAATTTCACAGCTATCTACATAGGGAAAACAAAAAAACTTTCATAAGAACCAAAAATCAGGTGAGCCCTCATAATACTTGGCTTTAACTCTATATCACTGAAAGAGGCACTGAAGAGATAGAAAAATCATGTACTTGGAAATATCAAAATAGTGTATAGAGATTCACATTATGAACTTCTACCCAAGAAGGAACATGGGAGCTCAGGATAAAAGCAAAAGAAACTTTAGATCCTTTGAAAAATATGGCAGATAGCAGACTGCACTGTGAGCCCAGCAGAAGACTGTGAGTGAAGAAGCCTCAGTTCATGAGAAAGGTAGAGAAGATTTCTACGATACACATTCCCACTGGGGAGTCAGGCAATCAAGGTTACCTGGGAGCTCCTTGGCCCTGCCAAACACCGGAGCTGATGTGGGAAGTCGGGGGAGGCCCAGAGAAAAAGCGTCATCAGGAATTTCCCCCTGCATGTTCCCCATCCCTGGCAACAGTAGAACGAGCAGCAGTCACTGTTTTAAAGTGACTGCTGTTCATGATGTCACTGGAGTGGCCAGAGACACAGTCTCCAGATTGTGATTGGTGATTTACTCTCAAGTGGAGTGGTGAGTGTGGCATGGGTTGCAGCTGCTGGCCTGGGAGCTGGGCAACCCCTCACTTTGCAGGACCAGACTGGGAGGGGTATGGCCTGGGAGCCATAGTTTTTCACCTAGGCAGAGACTTCTTTAACCTGGGATAGGTTTGTAATCTGAAGACAGACTGCTTGTGATGTGGCTGGCTATTTTGGCTTGCTGTGGCCAGCTGTGGGCCACAGGAAGGAGTCCTACCGGGCAAAGATCATAGGAATGTGGTGGGTCCCACTGTACACTGCTAGCTTGTGGAGCCTTAGCCACCCCTCTTTCCTCATGCTGACTCTTTGGTGTGGCAGTGTTTGCTCTACTTCTCCCTGGATCATTGCCCCAGTGACCTGAGAACTGTCTTCTGACCTCCATCAGGGTGAGCCTTGTGCTAGCTCTTAGGAATCCCAAGCATGGGCTTTCCTGGCTCAGCCCTGCTTGGCTTGCCCCCTACACCTGCCTCAGAAGCAGAACATGGAGCAAGGATCTCTGGAAGTTCCATAGTCATTCATTGCCTAAGACATCTGACATCTCCTGGTTAAAAATTTGAAGTATAAACTCCACTGTCACCACTGTGGCTGGCTCTCACATGAAAGTACCACGTACTGGCCGGGAGGGCAACTTGCACAGACCATTACAACATCTGCTGATACAATTCCACAGTGCTTAGGAAGGGGATAAATTTGTTTAACTGCTGCTACCACAATTGTGCACACTATCCCAGCTACTCAGCAGGCCCTGAGTCCATTCACTTGCCCAGTACATTACTACTAGAGCTGGCATTTGAGAAAGCCATCACATTGAGGCTATTTATGACTCAGGAAATCATACAGAGACTATGCCACTTAATGCACTCATAATCAAAGCCAAATTACCCTACAACCTATACATCATAAACATATTCTGAAGGAAAAAAGTCCTGCCCTAATAAAAGTAAACTCAAAAATAAGAAATTATTGTTACTTCAGATGCAAAGGAATCAGTGTAATAATACTAAAAATTAAAAAGAAGCCAAGATGCAATGTCACGCTTGAAGGAACACAGTAACTCTCTAGCAATAGATCCTAACCAAGAGAAATCTTCAAAATGGCAGATAAAGAATTAAAAATACAGATTGTAAAGAAGGTCAATGAGATACAAGGGAAATCTGAAAACCAATACAAAAAAATCAGAAATCAACTCAAGATATGAATGAGAAATATACTAAAGAGATATATTTAAAAGAAACCACAACAGAACTTCTAGAAACAAACAAACAAAAACATTGAAATAATTAACTATATAGTTGAAAGTTTCAACAATAGACTTGACAAAGCAGAAGAAATCCTCTTGGAACTTGAAGACAGGTCTTACAAATCGAGTCAGACAGAATTTTTAAAAATGAACAAAGTCTTTGAGAAATATAGAAATATACGAAATAACAGAACCAATGAATTAAAGATATTCACATAGAAGAAGAAAGAGAAAAAGGTTTGGAAAACTAATTTGAGGAAATAACTGAGGAAAACGTTCTAGTCTAGCAAGTTATAGACATCCAGATAAAAGAAGTTCAAAAAAATCTAGAAAAAATACATTGCAAAAGAAGGACCTCACCATGATATATAGGCATCAGACTAAGAACCAACATGAAGAAAAATAACCTAAAATCATCAAGAGAAAAGTGTCTAGTCATCTATAAATGATAGCCCAGCAGACTAATAGCAGACTTCTTAGCAGAGACTTTATGAGCCAGCATGGAGTGGGTTCAATTATCAAAAGTGGTTAAATTTTTTAAAAATGTCAAACTCAAATTATGTATCCTCCTAGGACAGCTTCATAAATTAAGGAAAAATAAAGTATTTTCCAGTCAAGCAAACACTGACAGAATTTGACATCTTTAGACTGGTCCTAAAAAAATAGGCAAAAGAGTTCTAAACGTGGAAACAAAAGATCCATACTCACCATCGTAAAAACCCATGAAAGTATAAAACTCACAGATTTTGTAAAACAATCACACAAATAAGGATGACAAAGAAAGAAAATGGCAACATGATGGAACTCCACCAAATCACAAAAAAAGAAAAAAATAAACAAAGAACCTACAAAGCAACTAGATAACAATATTATGACAGGAACAAAACCTCAATTATCAATATTAGCTTTTAACAGAAATGGTTTAAATGCTCCATTCAAATGATACAGATTTGCAGAATGGATAAAAACAACTATGGATTAACTATATGCTTTTTACAAGAAACTCACTCTTAAAGACACACAGACTAAAGGTAAAGGGGTGGGAAAATGATATTTTATGGAAAAAGAAACCATAAAGCAAACAGGAGGCCAGGTGCAGTGGCTCATGCCTGTAATTCTACTACTGTGGGAGGCTGAGGCGGGTGGACCACTTACGGGCAGGAGTTTGAGCCCAGCTTGGCCAACATGGTGAAACCCCATCTCTACTAACAATACAAAAAAAAAAAAAAAATCCAGGCATGGTGGCATGTGCCTGGAATCCCAGATACACAAGAGGCTGAGGCAGGAGAGTCAGTTGAACCTGGGAGGCAAAGGTCGAGGGGAGCCAAGACTGTGCCATTGCACTACAGCCTGGATGACAGAGTGAGACTTCTTCTCAAAAAACAAGTACAAGAACAACAACAATAATAAAACAACAACAACAAAACACAGAGTAGCTATACTCATATAAGATAAAACAGAATTTAAATCAACCGTAAAAAATGTCAAAGAAAAGTGATTATGTAATGATAAATGGATTCATCTAATAAGAAAATATAAAAATCCTGCATCTGTCTGCACCCAATCCTGGAGCACCCAGATTTATAACACAAATATTACTAGACCTACCTAAAAAGACAGAAAGCAATATAAGAATAACGGAGGACTTGAACACTCCACTGACAGTACTATACAGATTATCAAGGCAGAAAATCAGCAAGGAAACATTGTACTTAAAATCGACTTTAGACCAAATTGACCTAACAGATATTTATAAAACATTCTACCCAACAACAACACAATATATACATTCTTCTCATTAGCACATAGAATGTACTCCAAGACAAACCATGTATTAGGCCATAAAAGAAGTCTCAATACATTTTTAAAAATTGAAATCATATCAAGTATTAAAGCAGGAGTGGCAGGAAACAAACCCCTTGAACACTGAACTGAGGAAGGAAGTGGCTTTTTATTCAGCTGGGAGCTGCTGGCGCTAAAGCCTTATTCACTAAGCTCCCCGAGAAGCAGCTTCTTTCCTCTTTTATAGGCTTACAGTGCTACAGGGGAAACTGAGGAAAAACAATGTCATTTTCCATTGGCTGTACATTCAACCTTACAATCTTTTGGCTTTATTGATTTGCTAGTTCATATGCAGTGCCAGCAGGGGCAGGCAGGGGAAGGGGCTTACAGAGACAAACAAAGGCAGTAAATTATTAGTTGGCAGAGGTATTTCCAGGAGGGAGCCTGTGTCATGCAAACGTGATGGATGTGACCCAGTGCTGGGCTCTGGCTGGTAGTGATAACATTCATTTGCAACTCTTTCAAGGCTTATAGATAGCAGAGACACTGGGAACCAAAAAAAGAGTCATCTTCTCAGTCCTTGGGCCTCTTTACGGCATGATCAGTGGCATCAGCAAGTCGCCTGACCACGGATTCAAGCTCTTTGGAATTTTATTTCTTTTTCCACCCTCCTTTCCATCTGGAGGGGAGGGGAGGGGAAGAAGGAGGTGGAGATTAGGAAGCAGAAGGAGGCGAGGAGGTCTCCCCTGTCAGTATCTTCTTGGACAAAAGTAGAATAAAACTACGAATCAATTCCAGGAGGGAATCTTGAAAAAATACAAATACATGGAAATTAAACAACACATTACTGAATAATATTTGGATCAATGATGAAATTAAGATAAAAACTTTAAACATTTTGGAAACAAATGAAAATGGAGATACAATATACCAAAACCTCTGGGATACAGTAAAAACACTGCTAAGAGGAAAGTTTGTAGTGCTAAATGCCTACATCAAAAAACTCAGAACACAAATTAACAACTAATGTCACATCTCAAGGAACTAGAAAAACAATATCCAAACATAAAGCTAGCAAAAGAAAAGAAATAACAAAGATCTCAGCAGACTTAAATGAAATTGAGGCCAAAAAAAAAAATACAAAGAATCAATTAAACAAAAAGTTGATTATTTCAAAAGATGAACAAAGTTGATGCCAAGTGAAGTGGCTCACACTTGTAATCCCAGCACTTTTGGAGGCTGAGGTGGGGAGATACTAATGATAATAATCAGCCATAAAAAAAAAAAATCATGTCTTTTGCAGTAACATGGATGGAACTGTAGGCCATTATCTTAAATGAAATAACTTAGAAAGTCAAATATCACATGATCTCACTTATAAGTGGGAGCTAAATAATGTGTACACAAGGACATAGAGTGGGATAATAAACAGTGGAGACTCAGAAGTGTGGGAGGTGTGACGGGTGTGAAGGATGATAGATTACTTAATGAACACAATGTATACTATTATACGAAAAACTCAGACTTCACCACTATACAATGTATCCACGTATATCCACACATGCACTTGTACCCCCTAAATTTATATAAATAAAAAAATAATAAAAAAACATAACCATGATAGAGAAGAGGAGAATGAGCTGCCTAAGGTCAGGTATATTTATCCAAAATGTAGGGTTTTTTTCAAAGAGTAAAATGAAACTTTACCAGTGACACTGGGTAGATGAGTCTATTGGCAAAACAGTGATTGAAGAGATGTACCACAAGGTGTAAGCTGGTTTGAAAAGAAAATGAGACCAGAAGGGACTAACAGATAGTGAAAAAGGAGATGTGGTGGCTTTAAAATATGTATTAAAAGTCTTTGGTATTCCTCCATTTAAAGCTAGAGCCTACTAGCTCTATGAGCTCTATGAGGTCACTCAGATAATCTCATGGAGCAGTTCACATGGCATATCTGAAGGCTTCTATCAACAACCACCAAAGTGAGTGAGCCATTTTGGAAGTGGATCCTTAAGCCCCAATCAAGCCTTCTGATAACAGCAGCTCTGGCTGATATCTTGACTACAGTCTCATGAGAGATGAGTAGAATCATCCAGCTAAATTACCTCAGAACTCTTGGCCCACAGAAACTGTGAGACAATACATGTTTGTTTTTTATATTGCTAAATTTGGGATAAAGTGTTGTGTAGCCAAAGACAGCTAATACACATATTAAGGTCTAGAGAGCTCAAGGAATCCAATAAAATGTGTGGATCAAAGAGCTCCAGGGAAAATAGTTGAAGTCAGAAAAAATAATGTTTCAATTTAAAATTTCAGAAGTAATGTAGTTTTCTTAGTGAAAACAGAGTTAAAACTATCGCCATTGTTGTGGATGGCTGAGGCGAAGTGGAAATAAAAGTCACTGAGAGGAGGATTTCATGTGTCCTCAAGAATACTGTTGTTGCCCAGGATCACCAAATACCATTAAATAAGAGCCCTTACATAATCCTAGGATGTCAGAGCTAAAAATAACATATCATTGTAAGTTATATAGTCCGTATGAGTGGACTTGGTTTGTTTCTCAAAATGTGGCCCAAGGAGTACCCATATTAGAAACACCTGCAGCACTCTTCAGACATGCCCGTACATCAGAACAAATAAATACTAATATCCAAGGGCAGGATCCAGAAATTCTCATTTTATCAAATTATCCAGGTGATTCCTGAGTACACTAGCTTTTGGAACATCTGGTTTAGCTCAACTTCTTTAAGGTTTTGCCTTTAGAGGCCAATATCTTATTTTGTTGCTAATACTCTCCATTATACAAAGCTGCCTTTTGTGCCCAGTTAGTGGCGATTGATAAATTTACAATAATAAATCAAGGAATATTTAAGAATAAACAAAAGAAAATCTAAATTATTTATATAGATCTGGTTCCTACTAGACTCTTCCATCACTTTCTGCCTTACTCATGGTGCTCCAGTAATTTTATTCCCACCTCCCAGTCTTTGCATTAGTTGTTCCTTCTGCTTGGAGTGCTCAGATATTAACGGGAGTAGGCCCACTTTTTATTCAAGACTCAGCTGACACATCTGCTCCTTCAAGAGGTATTCCCAATCTAAAGTAACTTTCACCCCAAACCAGAGACTAAATACTATAGTCAATCTCTATAGCATTTTTCAACATTTAAAATAATCTTGTTAATTTATTTACTGTCCTATTCAAAATATACTTAAGCTCCCTGGGACCAGGGATTGTGTCTGTGTTGTTCACTGCCTCAAGCCCAACATATATATTTTTTTCTGACTTTTTAAATATTTCTGTTACTAATTGTGATATCACATAGACATTTTCTGAGAATTATATTTCTTTTTATTCTCATAAACAACAGTTCCCTGCGTCCTACAGATCATTCTTACATAAAGTCAAAGCATTTAGTTGATAAAAAAAATGTCAATCATAAATTCTATATTTGTGGATAAGGGCATGAAAGCATTAAATGCATTCCACTGATTTATTCTTGATTATTCATATAGGAAAATATGGGTGTGAAGGAATTATGATTTTTTTCTATTTATTGAAAAAGTTAATCTTGCTTTTATTTATTTATTTACTTATTTTTTTAAACCTTGATTTTAGGTTCTGGGGTACATGTGAAGGTTTGTTATATAGGTAAAGTCGTGTTAAGGGTTTTGTCATACAGTTTATTTCATCACCAGGTACTAAGCCTAGCACCCAATAGTTATTTTTTCTGATGCTCTCCCTCCTCCCACCCTCTACCCACAAGTGGGGTCCAGTGTCTGTTGTTCCTCTCTTTGTGTTCCGTGTTCTCATCATTTAGCTCCCACTTATAAGTGCAAACATGTGATATTTGGTTTTCTGTTCCTGCATTAGTTTGTTAAGAATAAAGGCTTTCAGCTCCATCCATCTTGCTTCAAATGACACGATATCATTATATTTTTGGCTGTGTAGTATTTCATGGTGTACATGTACCATATTTTCTTTACCCAGTCTAACTCATGATTGGGCATTTAGGTTGATTCCATGTCTTTGCTATTAGGAACAGTGCTACAATAAACATATGCATGCGTCTTCAAGATAGAACAATTTATATTCTCTTGTGTATTTACTCAGTAATGGTATTGCTGGGTCAATTGGTAGTTCTGTTTTTAGCTTATTGAGGAATTGCCACACTGCTTTCCATAATGGTTGAACTAATTTATACTCCCACCAACAGTGTATTAGTGTTCCCTTTTCTCTGTTAGCTCACCCAAATCTGTTATTTTTGACCTTTTAGTAATAGCCATTCTTACTAGTTTGAGATGGTATCTCATCATGGTTTTGATTTACATTTCTCTAATGATCACTGATATTGAGCTTTTTTTAATATGCTTGTTGGCTGTATGTATGTCTTCTTTTGAGGAGTACCTGTCATGTCCTTTGTCCACTTTTTAATAGGGTTGCTTTTCTTGTAAATTTGTTTAAGTAATTTAAAGAAGCTGGATATTATTTTCTCCAGTTCTGTAGGCTGTCTGTTTACTCTGTTGATAGTTTCTTTTGTGGTACAGGAGCTCTTTAGTTTAATTAGATCACATTAATCAGTTTTTGCTTTTGTTGCAATGCTTTTGGTGTCTTTGTCATGAAATCTTTGCTAGCTCCTATGTCCAGAATGGCATTGCCTAGGTTATCTTCCAGGGTTTTTATAGTTTTGGGTTTTACATTTAAGTCTTTAATCCATCTTTAGTTAATTTGTATTGTAGTGTAAGGAAGGGGTTCAGTTTCAGTCTTCTGCCTATGGCTTGCCAGTTTTCCCAGCACCATTTATTGGGAACATAAGGCATTCTACTATATAGACACATGCATGGCTCTGTTCATCACAGTACTATTCTCACTAGCAAAGACACTGACTCAACCTAAATGCCCATCAACAGTAAACTGGATAAAGAAAATGTAATACATATATAACATGGAATACTATGCAGTCATAAAAGAGAATGAGATCATGTCCTTGGCAGCACTATGGGTAGAGCTGGAGGTCATTACCCTTAGTGAACTAATGCGGAAACAGAAAACCAAATACTGCAGGTTCTGATTTATAAGTGGGAACTAAATGATGAGTACGCATAGACACAAAGATGGAAACAATAGACACTGGGGCCTACCTGGGGGTGGAGGGTGGAGGGATTGAAAAACTATCAATTGTTATGCGTATTACCTGCATGAGGAAATAATTTGTAAGTCAACCCCACTTGACATGCAATTTTCCTATATAACAAACCTGAACACATACCTGAACCCAAAATAAAAGTTAAAGTTGGAAAAGCAGCAACAACAACAAAACATGGATGTTACTGAAATTCCTGAAATTTGGGGGAAATAAGATTGTTATAAATTTATTCTAAGCTTATTCACAATTTTAAGACTTTTTCTATTTGTCTATCTGTTGATTACTGTGAAACAAACCTGACTGATATTAAAATAAATAAAAAGTGTGCATCAATCAGTTATGAACAAAGTTAGCTTGACAAATCTAGGTATACCATTTATTTAATATACAGAAATATTGAATTTTGATGAAGTTATTGACAAATACACAGAAGTTAAGGCTCAAAAACAGAAACCTGTAATATTACTACTCATTTCTGTGGTAGACCACTGTGTAGATATGTTTTTTCCTTTGAAAAATGCATTAATGCAATTAAAACACCTTGATCCATTTTTTCCTTTTTGGTTCTGCACTATTTATTTTGTATTTTATTTTTTATTGGCATATATATGTATGTATATGTTTATATTAAGTTCAATAAAAGAAAATAGTCACTCAATGTTCCTTTTGTGGCCAGTATTATTAGTTTCATTTCATCATTATTTCTTAAAATAATTTTGTCATCTACAGGATAGCTCTGTTAAAAAAGGACCTGTTTTGGGTATCAAATGTGATAGGTATCAACTAATGCCTAGTATATAGTTTGCACTTAATAAGTATTTGTTGATTGAATGAATGAACACATGAATTAATATTGGGCATATTATGAGCATCTTCTTTCCTCAGAATCCTTCATGGAGGTCTATGGAAGACCTTGCTCCTGTTGTGAATGTTGCAATATATCCTTAGTATATTCTCCTGATAGCACCAAAATCATCTTTTAAAAATGTAAATTAGATCACATCACACCCTTGCTCAAATTTCTCCAATTATTTCCCATCTTATTCAGAATAAAATCCAAATTTATTTTGGCGGCATGAAAGCCCCTACACTGTGTTACTTCGCTACCTCTGAAATTACTGCTCCAGCCTCACTGAATTTTTTCATTGCTATTCCTTCTGCTTGGAGCCCTCTCCTCTAAATTCCTGCAGGACTTTTCTCAAATGAGCTTATCAGAGAGTCTTTCTCTCATTGATATAAACCAGTGTCCCACCTCATTCCCATAGTGTTATACTTTCATTCACAGCATTTGTCTCTTTTACTCCTGTAATCATAAGCTCTATGAGGAAGCCACTATGTTTTGTCTGTACCCCGAACAACTGCCCAGTATAGAGTAAGCTCTCCGTGACATAGCGTTAGAATGAATTAACTTACCCATGTTTCGCAGAGGTAATAAGTTCTTTTTCTGACTACATAATTATTAAAGCAGCTAGACTTGGGTATTAAGTCCTTATCTAGGCATATCACATATGCCTGAAACAAAATAATTCAAAGTTCTGCTCCCAGGAAAATAACTCTCAACTGGACTATGGATAATATTCCGAAAGGCTTTATCTGGGACTGGGAGGGTCAACCACAAGGGTGAAGTTTCTCTGGAAGACAGCTGACTAAAACTGCGGCGGCTGCCAAGGCAGCCGGAGAAGGGCGGAGAAAAGGCGGTAACTGGCAGGCAAAGTGCGTAACGGGGCGGGGCTACCATAAGGAGAGCCTAGTTAAACTGATTTGTCCCTCTCCGCTCTCCGTCTGAAAACTTTGGCCGAAAGGGTCGTAGACATGGCGGCGATCAGGGTAAGCGGAAACGAATTCGCTTAATTTCTGTGGCTGCCGATAGCATCCCGGTAACAGTAAAAGGGATCCTACTAACTTCCGAAGGAGCCCCGGAGCAAGGGGCCGGGTGGAGGTGGGTTGTGAGATAATTGCAATCATTATCATTTGCAGCCTCAAGACACCTGCCTCTTCCCATGAGGGTTTTATCAACCTGGGACACTGCTCCCTCAATCCCCTGCAGCTGTTGATTTACACAGTGGCCCAGCACAAAACTGGGAAACGGCTAGGTAAAAATGGCTGGCCAGGCGACGAGCCGCTGTTGAAGTTTCGGTCTTGAGCTGCAACAATCAGAAAAAAATATATATCCTTGGGATTTGTCTCGGCGCACAGGGCAAGGCCTCATGACCTTATGGAAGGACTTTGTTGAAACATTATTTGGGGTGAGACAGACCAAGATAGAGACGTCCTATTGTCTCTTAGCAGTGCACCGGTTTACACGTAGTGTTGTTACTCTCTGTGCTCGAATAACCTGTTTTCTTTCGAGTTTTACGCTGGGAAAAGGTGCCTTCACTTGGGAATCCGTGTACAGTAAGTGACTCAGCTAGCTGCTTGCTGCAGTTCCCTAAGTAGTTTTAAATAACGGTAGTTTACAGATATTTACGTAGCAGGTTTTAAGTGTAAAATATTCTGTTAGGCTTGCAGGAGATACAATATGAACAATTAAGTTTAGCTGAAGGTTAATCGGCAGTGTCCGTCTTGATTCACCATTCTTACTTCATTTTTGCAGTTTTGGTTCTCGTACTTCATCTGAGTTCTTTCAGCAACCTCCTACCTGAACTTGCTGCCTCAAGCCTGGCTCTCATGTAATCCATTTTCCTCTGTGTTACCACAGTACCAAAATGCAACTCTGATTTTGCCCCTCCCCTATGTAAAAACGTTTATGGGCACGCCATCATCTCCCTTGTAGGATCAGGTCATATTCTTACATCTAGAACACTGGATTTTGCCTTGACTTTCCAGCTTCATCTCTTGTCACTCAGGAACCCTCCTCCTGTCAATATTGAGCTACTTGCTTGACCCCTCGATGCTTTTTTACATGCTTTTTTCTGGGCTTAAAGTGCCTTTTCCCATCTTTATCTAGTTGTATTTATAGTTCATTCATTCATTCAACAGGTATTTGTGTACAGCCTCCCCATGTGAAAAACATAAAAATGCCTTGTATAAGAGTGTCTCCGGGCACAATCTTAACCAAGCATTTATTCACTGCAGATAATGGACTACTTACTTGTCTGTTCTAGTTACTTACACTATAAGTTCCTTGAAGACAGTAATTATTTTAACCTTTGTATCCTTAGTACCTGGCACCTTAGTACCTAGCACAGGTCTGATGTATATTAGGTAGTCAACATGTTCTGCATGAATAAAGTGCCTGGCGATGAGGACAAAAGAAATTTGGCGATGAGGACAAAAGAAATTAAGTGCTGGAGATATAACACATATAATACAAATGACTATGATTCAGAGTAAGGGAAGTTTCTTATGTCAAGATAAGTACAAAGGGCTCTGAGGGTGAAAAGGAGAGATAGCTCACACTTGGTTTGAAGAGAGTAAAGAAAGGCTTCATGGAGGAGGTGCAGAGACAGAAGGAATGGTGAGTGGCAAAAAGGAAACCAGAATGGTGTGTTGGCATTGAAACTTAAGAAGAGAGTTGAACAGTCCTTTGATTTCACCATTAATAAGTTACTGCAGCTATCATTTATTAAGTACTTACTCCAGGCAAGGCACTATGTTAAAACACATTACATGTGTTAATTCACTTATTCTTAAGGCAACTTTATGTGGTATGTACTATTACCATTTTACAGATGAAAATTAAGGTTTAGAGAAGTCAGATTGTTCAAAACCATGCTAATAAGAGTCGAAGTGAGCTAAAGAGATATAGAGTGGTAGAGGGCCAGCCGAGATTGTAAGGGGTTAAGAGAAGAATAAGGGATGGAGAACCAGCATTCATTTAGCACCTACTTTGGCCAGATGATTTACATATATTATTTTACTTTAATCCTCTTGATGACCCTAAGAAATGGATAATATATCCATTTTACAGATGAACAAACAAAGGCTTAGAAAAACTGCTTGCTCCAAATCATACAGCTACTAAGTGGAATAACTAAGTTCAAACAGGTATATTTTTCTGCAAAATCTTTCCACTCCTCCTTGCTTCCTCTGGAAAGGAGTTACACATTACTCTTTAGAGAAGTTTGGTGGTGAAAGGAAGGAAAGAAATCTTGGAATGAGGGTAGCAAATTCCAGAAAAGGTATCTTTTAATTAAAAAAAAAGAAACAAACAAACAAACAAACAAAAAGCAGGAGACAGGAAACTTGAGCTACTTTGGAGACAAGGGAAAATGTACCAGGAGGTATATAGAGGGAAAGATAATAGTATTTACAGCTATTATGTTATTGAATATTGACTATGTGCTAGGAATTTTGCTAAGCAGTTTATGTAGATTCTCTCATTTATGTTTCACATTGGCCCTATGAATAGGAACTGTTATTAATCACCTTTTTACAGGTAGGGAAATAGAAACTTAAAAAGGTCAAGTAACTCCAAGGTCACACAGGAGTAAAGAGGTAGAGCTGGATCTGAAATCACATGGTTTGAGTCCTGAACCTGGACTCATAACCATATTTTGTAAGAAAGTGGTAAAATCAAGAGAACAAGTAGAGAAATTAACCTTGGCAAAGAGGAGATACTTTGCTTCAAAGGCCAGAGTTGGTCAAGATAGAATTTGATGATATAGAGAGATGTCAAAGAACAGAGGAGGTAGAGGAGCAAGCTCACACTGGATGTCGGTATCTTCTGGGTATAAGGTCATCTGCTGAGAGACGAAAATGTGGCTTTAGGAGATTAAGAATGGAGTAGGCTTGGAAAAGGTGCTGTAGGAAATTCAGTAAAGTATCAGTAGACATTGAATAAAATATTAATAATTGCTGAGTAGTGAGGTCCTGGTTAACGTTGGCTCTAGTAGTGACTTTCTCCAGCAGTGCTCACAGCATAGGACGGGAAGAGGAGACAGTAGGAGTGCTCAAGTGCTGAGTGTTGTCAAGGTGAGAATGAGAGAAGATCTAGGGAATTTATCCAAATGGTTATCAACTCTGGAAAAGGAGACAAATGAAGAAGAAGATTGAAGTGGTGGATGAGGATACTAGAAGATTTATGGCCATGGTGACAAAGACAATCTAGTTCAGAAAGAGTGGGAGAGTTGAAAGAACATTCTATTTTAATCAGGGAAATTTCAGGCATTTAGGATTTTGGAGGTGAAACAGTTTCTGATCATTGCAAGGTAGGGTAACTGTATTAGAAATGGCTAAGATTTGTGGAGATTGTGGTGCTTGAGAAGCTAGAATTGTACTGATTTCTCCTGTCTTCTGGACTCGAAGAATTTCTGGGGGTCTGGCCTTCATTTAAAAGGATTTGGAGGAATGTATAATAGTAGTGTCAAATAAAAGACAAATTTCATTAATGACAGAGGTTGAGAGTGAGTTTGAGGACAATTTGGGTATTGGCAGATAATTTGTTTATAATAGAATAGTGAAAATCAAAATTTGCCTATGATTTATTGAGGACTTGTTGTGTATCAGGTACTGTGCTAAGCTGTTAATACACATTATTTCATTTAATTTTCACTAAAAGTTTTCTAGGTAGTTAACTTTACCTGTAAGAACTGGAGTAGATCAGTAAGGAAATTGAAACTGTAATGATAGGAGGTTGTACTCAGGCAAAAACTTGCAGAATTTATGATTTTAGCTATTAAAAAGTTCTAGGTAATGATAAGTTCTAGGTAATGATAAATTCAAGGTGTACCCAGGGAGTAGGTAGTTATATGACCCTCTGGGATTATGGTTCTTTTTCTTTTTCCCCAACTTTATTGAGGTATAATTGACAAGTAAAATTGTTTTATTTTAAGATGTGCAATGTGATGATTTGATATACATATATGTTGTAGAATGATTACCAGAATCAAATTAGTTTATATGTATCACTTCACCATGCTTTATATTATATCCCTTGAACTTACCTATCTTATCATTGAAAGTTTGTGCCCTTTGGCCAACCTCCCAACCTCTCCCCTTTCCCTCACCTTGGTCCCTGTAACCACCATTCTCCTCTCTAGTTCAGTGAGTTCAACTTCCTAAGATTCCAGTACAAATAAAGTCATGCAGAGTTTGTCTTTCTCTGTCTGACTTACTTTACTTAGCATAATGCCCTTGAGGTTTATCCATGTTGTTGCAAATGACAGGTTTTCTTTCTTTTTTTATGGTTGAATAATAACCCATTTGTGTGTGTGTGTGTGTGTGTGTGTGTGTGTGTGTGTGTGTGTGTGTACTACAGTTTCTTCATTCATCTGTTGGCAGACACTTAGGTTGTTTTCATATATTTTGGCTATTGTGAATAATCCTGCAGTGAACATGGGAGTGCAGATATCTTTGCAATTGCTGATTTCACTTGCTTTGGTTATACAGCTACTTTGGCTATTCAGAGTATTTTGTGATTCCATACAAATTTTGCAATTGTTTATTTTCCTATGTCTGTGAAATATGCCATTAGAATTGAATCTGTGGATTGCTTTGGGTAGTGTGGATATTTTAACATTAATTATTCCAATAAATGAACACAGGATATCTTGCATTCATTCGTATCTTCAATTTTGTTCATCACTCTTTGATAGTTATCAGTATACAGCTCTTTCACCTCTTGGGTTAAGTTTATTTCTGTTTTATTCTTTCTGATGCTATTTTAAATGGGTTTTCTTTCTTTCTTTTTTGGGTAGATCATCTTTGATAGTGCATAGAAATGCAACTGCTTTTTGTATGTTGACTTTGTATGCTGCAGTTCCCTTTATTTATTAGTTCTAACAGGGTTTTGGTGGCATATTTAAAATCTTCTATGTATAATATCATGTAATGTGGGAAAAGAGACAATTTTATTTCTTTTTTTCCAATTTGAATGCCTTTCATTTCTTTCACTTGCCTAATTGCTTTGACTAGGACTTCCAGTGCTATGTTGAATAGAGGTGGCAAGAGTGAGCAACTTTGTCTGATTCTTGATCTTAGAGGAAAAGCTTTTAGCTTTTCACCTTGGTTATGATATTACTGTGGCCTTATCATATATGCCCTTTGTTATGTTGAGGTACATACCTTGTATAATTAATTTGTTGAGAGTTTTTAATCACAAAAGGGTGTTGAATTTTGCCAAATGCTTTTTGTGTATTCATTGAAATGATTGTGTTGTTTTTATCTTTCATTGGGTTAATGTGGTGTATCATGTTTATTAATTTGCTTATGTTGAACCATCCTTGCATCCCTGGGATAAACCTCACAGATCATGGTGAATGAATCTTTTATTTTTATTTATTCATTTAATTGTTTTTCCAACTTCTATTTTAGGTTCAGGTGTACATGTGAAGGTTTGTTACACAGGTAAACTCATATCATGGGCATTTGTTGTGCAGATTATTTCATCACCCAGGTATTAAGCTCATTACCCAATAGTTATCTTTTCTGCTCCTCTCCTTTCTCCTAGAAGAAAGAAGACCCCAGTGTCTATGGTTTCCTTTGTGTTTGTAAGTTCTCATCATTTAGCTCCCACTTCAAGAAGACCCCAGTGTCTGTGATTTCCTTTGTGTTTGTAAGTTCTCATAACTTAGCTCTCACTTATAAGTAAAAACATGTGGTATCTGGTTTTCTGTTCTTGTGTTAATTTGCTAAGGTTAACAGCCTACAGCGTCATCCATGTTTGTGCAAAAGACATAATCTCATTCTTTTTTATGGTTGCATACTATTCCATGTTGTATATGTACCAATTTTTTTTATCTAATCTGTCATTGGTGGGCATTTAGGTTGATTCCATATCTTTGCTGTTGTGAATAGTGCAGTCAAGCTACTCTTCTAAGTGGCTGTACCATTTTGTATTCCTACCAGCAGTGAATGAGACTTCCCTTTGCTCCACATTCTCCCCAGCATTTACCGTTATCAATGTTTTGGATTTTCACCCTGTTAGTAGGTATGTAGTGGTATCTCATTGTTGGTTTAATTTGTAATTCTCCAATGACATGATGTTAAGCATCTTTTCATATGATTATTTGCCATCTGTGTATCTTTAATGAAGTATCTGTTCAGATATTTACACATTTAAACAAAATTTTAATAGTTTTGCAGGAACAGGTGGTTTTATGTTACATGGATGAGTTCTTTAGTGGTGATTCTGAGATTGGTGCACCTGTCACCTGAGCAGTGTACACTGTCTCCAGTGTGCAGTATTTTGTCCCTTACCCCCTCCCACTGTTCTCAAGTTCCCAAAGTGTATTATTCTTATGCCTTTGCATCCTCATAGCTTAGCCCCCACTTATTAGTGAGAACATATGATAATGGGTTTTTCAATACCTGAGTTACTTCACTTAGAATAATGTTCTCCAGCTTCATCTGGGTTGCTGCAAATGTGATTATTTTGTTCCTTTTTATGGCTGAGTAGTATTCCATGTTGTATATATACCACATTTTCTTGGTCCATTTATTGGTTTATGGGCATTCAGGTTGGTTACATATTTTCACAATTGCAAATTGTGCTGCTGTAAACATGCATGTGCAAGTTGACTTTTTTATATAATACCTTTTTTCCTTTGGGTAAATACCCAGTAGTGAGATTGCTGGATCGAATGGTAGTTCTACTTTTAATTCTTTAAGGAATCTCCATACTGTTTTCCATGGTGGTTGTACTAGCTTACATTCTTACCTGCAGTGTAAATGTGTTCCCATTTTACCACATCCATACCAACAAGTATTATATTTTTTATTTTTAATTATGGCCATTCTTGCAGGAGTAAGGTGGGATTGCACTGTGGTTTTAATTTCCATTTCCCTGATAATTAGTGATGTTAAGCATTTTTTCATATGTTTGTTGGATATTTGCATATTTGAGAAGTGTCTATTCATGACCTTTTCCTACTTTTTCATGCAATTTTTTTCTCTTGCTGATTTGTTTGAGTTCTTGTTAGATTCTGGATATTAGTCCTTTGTCAGATGCATAGTTTGTGAGTATTTTCTCCCACTCTGTCTGTTGTCTGTTTCCTCTGCTAATTATTTCGTTTGCTTTGTAGAAACTTTTTAGTTTAATTAGTTCC